ACTAGTACTAGTAGTAGGAGGAGGAGGAGGAGTAATCATAGAATCCTCAAAAAGATGCTGCAACCTTCGGCCTGAGACCTAAACCCCAAACCCTCCTGCTCGTTGTTGTCGCCCACAAGCGAGGCTGTAGGCTCCAGGAGGGCATGAGCAAAAGTGGTCTCACCGGCCTCAGCGGTTCAGGCTAGCAGCTAGCGCCTTCACCATGATGAGCCATGTGGTCCCAAGGTTTCGGAAACGTATCACTCATGCGACTCATTTATCTTTGTGGCAGAGCTCCATGTCTCCTCCTCAATCTTCTCACGATTCACAGCGCGGCAGCGCATGCTGCAAGGACTCCCGTTTTCGCGCCGATGAGGTCACTCATTTGGAGACCTTGAACTTAAACCAAGACTCCGGCCCCTTCTTCTGGTCCCGGCGGCCACGAAGCCTCCGAGCCTCCTTACTGGGCTGACCGAAATCGGCGTAAACATCCCAGAGGTCGGGAAGCTGTTTCTTGACGACCGCTGCTTTGAGCGGTGGCATCTCGTCCTGGGTTGGCTTGGGACACCGCTGCCGACACCTTCCGGGCCAGCGCTGTGAGCGGATCGACAGAGCTGCGAGCCGGCCGGCTTTCGCCAAAACCAAGCTCAGTGGCGGCACTGGCCCTGACAGCCCTGGGCCACAGGCTGCGCCTGGTGCGGCTTGGGGACCCGTGCGCAGCGGCACTCCCAGCACAGGCGCGGGTGGCAGATTCCTGGGCTCCACGACACCTAAGCGCCGGGCCTCGGCATTGTCGTGGAGCCAGAGACTCTGCTGGTGCTGGAGCCCACAGCCATCCACCTTGAGGTCACTGAGACACCATCTTGCCTCTTCTTCAGACACATGCTTCAGCAGCTGCAAGAACTGCACATAGGGAGCCACCTTGCATGGGCTCAAGCTTGGAAGCAGCGCGTGCTGGATGTGCATCTCCTCGATCAACAATGCAAGGGCCGGAGTGGCACAACTGTGGGCCACCTCCCCGTCCGTGCCACAGATGAGGAAGGCAGCTATGAGCTCCCGGCGAACACGCTGCGAGACGGTATGCGCCTTGTCCAAGAATCGATGATCTTCCCGAAAACGCGTGAGCCGCTGGACGGTGCTCTCGAAATCCTTGGGAGGATCATAGCTCTCATGGGATCGGTCGAAGAGGGCCTGGAATTCCAAGTTGGCCTTGGCGGCCGCCTGCTTGCGGTCGAAAGCCGGGTCTCCTCCGAACTCCGCATCGATGCCCTCCAGGCGACGGTCCAGGGGTCGACCGCCAGCACAGCGATCGCAGTGGCAGAGGAAGCCCCAGCCGGCTTGAAGGCTGGCCCGGCGAACCCGAAGAGGTGAGAGCTGCTCGGCCTCCGACAGATAACAAATGCAGACTTCCTCCCGGGACCTGATCTCTTCCAAAGCGTAGACTCGAAAGGACCTGACCTTAGCCTTGTAGTTGGAGACGGACTCTGACAGCTCACCGGGTGCCAGGTGACCCCCGGCATTCGGAAAGCAGGAGTGGTTGAAACGACTGCAGGCACGGAAGAGCATGGCCGGGTAGGCGCCATCGGCACAGGGCCGGAAGGTGCGGAAGGCATAGCGGGAGGCTATCGCCAATGCCCTGGCTTGTGGAGTGTCGTCGCTTGCAGGCACGTCGAAATCCCCAAGGAGCCGGGAACTCTGAATCCAGTCGGCACCTGCCTGCAGGTCCGGCGCATCCGGGTCGGAGCCACTGTCCCAAACGAAGGGCAGCTCTTCCAAGAGCAACTCGCCACGCTTCACCGTGTCCATGGACACATAGCCGCTGCCACGCTCACCAAGGTGAGAAAGCTTCAAAGAAGGATGCAAGTACAGCAGGGCTCCACTCTGAAACGGCAGGGATGCAGCCATCGCGCGGGGATTGCAGCGCTCCTAATCTTGAAACTGCAGGTAAACCATGATTCTTGGTCTGATGCCGGGGAGCTTCATGTCGCTCGCCGCGGGAAGGGCCATTTGCACTTCTTGGAATCACATGTCTGCTCAAGTCCGACTGTCAGACTGATGTAAGAGCAAAAGTTGTCCGGCTCGAGGGTCCTGTCTGCTCTGGTCTACGACTCAAGCACCGAGTGCTGCACCGGCTCGCCAACCTTCATCTCCGCTTTCAAAGGTGTCAGTGACGAAAGGCCCAAAGTCCTCACACGAGAGACATATAGACATGACAAGATCTACAAGAAAATCTAGCGCACTGCGAGCTAGAAAAGTTGCGCAAACATGCACAAGACTAGAGGTTCACTTCTCCAAACAGCCCTGCCTCATGCTGGCCTGTGCTTTGCGGATGCCTTCGTCCAGCCAGGCCAGACGCTTCGTTGCTGTTTGAGAGAGGCCTGATTGGCTGCCGGGAGATGCGGGACAACCACAGACTCGTTACGGCCCAAGAACTCACGAAGAGCCTCTGGGGCTGCCAAGCACCCAGCAGTGAGGCAGTCACTGCGGAACTCCCACCATGCTGTGACGAGAACACCAGTCCCACTCAAAACCGACTTCCGGAGGCAGAAATGCGAGTCCCACGCAAATTTTGCACGACGCTGGGGCTGGGATCACGACTGCTAAACCTTGGAGAGAAAAGCAACCGCTTGAAACGGAAGGATTGCGAGATTACACGAGAAGCCCCCAGGAGCCAAATAGCATAACCCTGCCAGTGACTTCGAGCGACTTGAAATCCAAAAGCAACAAGAGAGGGCGGGAGCACACTTTCCACCAAAAACCACGTCGCGGGGACAGCAACCTAGTCCTGCAAATTCCGTTACTTCCACTGTAAGAACCCCTTGGGGTTACCAGGGGCCCTTGCCTTTGCTGCAACGAGACCAGGACTCAGGGTCCTGCCTTGGATTTGGCAGTACCCGAGCTCCGACACCTTCATGAGCGGCCTCTGCTTCACGAAGGGACTTTGGGAGAGGAGAAAACCCGGACATGCCTTCTTGAGAGCACAGACTTACAAGCCTGTAAGGCCTCACTGGCAATCATTTCCCAGTGCAAGGAGACATGAAGTCTCGATGCTCGATGCAGAGTCATGTCCCACAGACTCCACAAAAGCAAATCCACTTCTAAGAGCGGCACTCGAGCAAGTCCGGGCGAGCCAGAGTCCGGCAGGATCCTCATCAGATGGACTCAAAGAGGTTTAACCCTAGCCCCACGAGGTCCGTCGAGCCGGTCCTCTGCAAGCGACCACCAGATTCCGAAACTCCGGAGCCTCGGCTTTCAAGAGCAGCGAGCAACAGAAACCCTGGGAACGCCGAAAGCTGAGGTCAGCGGCGCAGAGAAAGCGGGACGTACAGAAGTGCGGCAACCTGAGCTGGAGGAGCGACTTCCACCAAGTAGCTAGCAATGCCGTGCCTTGCACGCTGCGAAAGCCAAGAAGCCAAGATCATGAACAACCACTCATACGAGGCAATGGCGCCAGTGCATAGAGATCCGCTTCCGGATTCGATTCGGCTGTCAGCCTGCCAAGTCCATCAACGGCTGATGTGAGGTCAGGTCGAAACGCCGCTTGCCTCATGCTGAGGCGCAACATCCTCGAACTATGCCCCAGCTCACACTTGGCGCGCTGCTGGAGCTCGACGATGCTGCGGCTTTCAGCCCAAACCTCAGCAAGGTTAGCAGACTCCAGAGTGTTTGACATTCTCGAAGATACGCCTCCCTTCTGCACGTGGGGTCTCCTTCTAGGGTTAGGGTTGGAAAACAAGAAACCTATCCACAACTTGTGCAGCACATGCCGCCCTGATTGAGGCCGCAGCCATTAAACGCTTGACTCGCACATGCAGGTAATCATCACCTCAAACGTAAGCAGTCCGCAACTGTCAATACGGATCACGGCCGCTGCTGTCAATTACAGAAAAAGCCGCACCCGATTCATGCAGCCCAATACACTGGCAAGACACAAGTGAGGCTTACACGCGATATCGCAGCCCGCCATGAAGCAAGCGACTGCAACATGACACAAACTTCTGGAAACTTGTCATGCGTCCAATGATGTGCTACCATGTGCGTTCAAGTGCTTGCTTCGTCGAACTTATCACCTGGAGTTGGTAGCCATTACGACTTACGAGCTCATGGCATCCACACGCAACTAATTGAGCAAGATCGCCCTTCAGACCAGACGCAGCGTTTTGAAGGAAGTCCATGTATGTAACCCACACATCAGACTGCGCACGTTGGATCACGCAGTACAAGCGGAAAACACATTCAGGGCTGCATCGTGTCAACGAAGACCAAGTTGCGGGGCATGTATTCACACATCAGCGATGAATATCCGTCGCACACCCTGCATTTCTGTCCAGGAAGGGCACCTCATAGAGGAGGTCTGCACACATCAACTCTCAGGGTCCAGGGTCGAAAGTGTGACATCAACCTGCAGTCCTGCTGCGGGGTTAATACGCTTCCCTTCTTGTGTTTTATGATTTCGCAATGAGTCGAACCAAAGTGTTCATGGATTTTTGGATTTTGCGGACTTTGGGTGGAGCAGTTAGATTCACGAGTCTCCGGCTTTGGGTTTAGGGTGTCCGGGCTGGGGCATTTTGCCAGGGTTCACGCTTTTGAGGCAGCATGTTACTATCGCCAAGCACGGCCTTGAGGTAACTATACGCAGACCTGGATGCAGAAAACGGAAACAGATGTAAACACGACTGGCAACATGGAATTAGATGGAGACGACGAGTCTGTTCTGCACTCGGTTCAACTGGACCTGGGCCCGCAAGAGCACTTGCAAAGCTGCATCTCGTCTCTCACCTTTTCAACTGCTGAGGCCGTCAACGTCAAGGTGAGCCTCGAAAGAAAACTTCATTGGCATGCCGGTGTGGCTTGCATCGGCCCCAAAGACCGAAACCTTTCTATACCCTTTTCCCTGGCCGGCACC